TCAAAAAAATTCAAAAAAAAATCTGAAAAAAATTGTAAAAAAAATTGTTTTTACTTTTCTATAAATACCTTCTCATTATCATCTACCTTCACAACAATTTCATATTTTCTCAACCACTTTCAATCACATTCCTTTCTTTGTCTCAAAGTTTGAATCCATTTTTTTTCAACAAAATGACCACTGGTGCAGGTACGAATTGGTCGCTTATTGAAGATGTTGCGTTGTGTACTAGCTGGGTTGAAGTTACTCATAGTTCGCTTACGGGTAATGAGATGCAGTTGCGAGAAATGTGGAGTCTTATTCATACCAATTATCTTGAGAAAATTGGTGGGAAAAGAACCAAAGAATCGATGTCCAGTCGTTGGAAATTACTTAGCCAATCGTTTAGTACGTGGAGAGACGCTTTGGCACAAGCTAGTAATAATATTCGAAGTGGGGAAAATTACTCAGATATGGTAACAAGATATTATTATTTATTGTTTGTATTCTTTATTTGTTACGTACAAAATTTATTATTTATTGTTACTTATTTGTTACATTATAATTATGTTGTTTGTTACATTATAATTATGTTATTGTTACTTATTTGTTACATTATAATTATGTTGTTTGTATTATTTATTTGTTATTTATTTTCATTAAAATTAATGTATATATATATATATATTTCTTAATTATTTTCATTATTTACTAAACTTGAAGCCTTCTTATTTGCTTTGTTACTTATTTTCATTATCTTTGTTACTTATATATATATATATATATATGTATATATTTGCTAGTTACTTATTTTCATTATAATTATTTATTTGTATTATTTATTTGTTACTTATTTTTATTGTGTAGGAACTTCAAGCACAAGCTTGGTATGCTGCCAAAACCAAAGGCAAAAATAAATCATTCAACCGGTGGGAATGTTGGAATATTGTCAAAGATTGTCCTAAATTTAGAGTTGTGCCAGTTGGTCCAGAAGTGCACATGAACAGCACCCCTCTACACTCTACACCCGATCATGTTCATGATGATGATGCAGAAGAAGTGCCCGAAACGCCCCTCCCTGAACAAGCGTCGGGTTCGACCCGTTTTCCAATTAGGCCTCAAGGTAAGAAGGCTACAAAGAGAAAAGGGAGTGCTTCCAAGAACGATTATGCAAAGTTCATGGAAGAACTTACTTGCCAAGGTGAATTGACTTTGGCGAGGGAACTGGTGAAAGATGAGGCTGATAAGGCTGATAAAGCATCAAAAGCAGCAGCTGTTGAGAGAGAATTTTATGCTAATGAGAGAGAAAGAGAGCTACTTAGGCAAGAAAGGGAACATGTTAGAGAAGAAAGACGAGCTCAACAAGATCGTGAGATTATGAACATGTCTTTAGAAGGGAAATCTCCAAATTCTAAATTTTTTTGGAAGTCAGAGAAAGCGGACGTGGTGCGAAGGAGGCGTGCAAGAGAAACAATAGCAAGCCAAGGTGGTTCTAGCACCGCAAGAGAAGATCATCCTAGCAGCACAAATTGGTTAAGTGATGATGAATAGAGTACTTTTTGTAATCGGAGCCCATAATTTTCCAATCACTTTGGGTTGTAATTTATTATTTATTGTTTGTATTATTTATGTTGTTTCCATGTTCATGAATATTTATTCAAATTAATTTGGTAAGTTATTTATATTAAGAATTAATTTGGTAAGTTATTTAATTTGGTAAGTTATTTATATTAAGAATTAATTTGGTAAGTTATTTAATTTGGTAAGTTATTTATGTTGTTAAAAGTCCATTAAAAAAACATAGATTACATATACTAAGAATTACATAAACATAAACATAAAAAAATTACATAAACATACTAAGAATTACATAAACATAAACATAAAAAAATTACATAAACATACTAAGAATTACATAAACATAAACAAAAAAAAATTACATAAACATACCAAATAATAAAACACACCAAATAAAATAACATAAACATACCAAATTCAAAATAACACACTAAAATGAACTTAATTATCCTCAGCTTGTTTCAATGCCCACTGGTGCTCTATCAAGTCAATTTGTCGGGCATTGTGCATGTCTGGCATTTGAAATGCAGTATATCGTTGAATGAGCCTTTCATTGTAACGTCCATCCCTTTGTAATGGCTCATGTTGCACGGGGTCATCGGTGGCGTCATGAGCACAATATATACGTGTTCTTGAATTGTTCATCGGGTCTGGCTCATATTCATCAACAGCTTCATAATCGTACTCATCTTCCACAATCATGTTGTGAAGAATGATGCACGTCATCATGATGGATCGAAGCGACTCTACATCAAATAATCTGGCCGCACCCCTGACGATCGCCCAGCGAGCTTAGAGGATACCAAAACAACGCTCCACATCCTTCCTGCACCCCTCTTGACAGCTTGCAAAGTGTTTTTCCTTCGCACTCCGCGGACGTGGCACTGTTTTGACAAATGTTGACCAGCGCGGGTAGATGCCGTCAGCTAGGTAGTATGGCCCGTCGTACATACGTCCGTTGACCTCATATGTAACTTTTGGTGCCTTTCCTTGCAGGACATCGTTGAACACTGGGGATTGGGCAAGGACGTTGATGTCATTTTGAGCTCCCGGGACCCCGAAAAAGGCGTGCCAAATCCATGTATCAAAAGATGCCACCGCCTCCAGAATGATACTTTTTGCCCCTTTTCTGTCCCCGTAAGCGCCTTGCCATGCACTTGGACAGTTTTTCCACGTCCAGTGCATACAATCAATGCTTCCAATCATCCCAGGAAAGCCATGCATCTCCGCCTTCTTCAACAGCCGCTCCAAGTCCATGTGTGTGGGTTTGCGGAGGTACTCAGCGGTGTAGATAGATTCGATTGCTCCGCAAAACCTCATCAGGGACTCAAGAATGGTTGATTGCCCCATCCTCGTTATCTCATCCACTTGGTCTGCAGATGCTCCATATGCAAGCATCCGCAAGGCAGCAGTAATTTTTTGCTCCGGCAGTAGACCCATAGCACCAAAAGCATCTTTTTTTTGCACAAAATAAGAATCATGGTTGCAAACAGCAATCATGATTTTGTTGAACAAATGTCGTTCCATTCTAAAACGACGTCTAAAGTACGTATCAGGGAATGCACTATTAGGAACAAAATAATCAACCAAGAGTTCCATACCTCGTCGTTGCCTGCTTCTATCAAGGTTTCCGGAACGCCTGGGCCTGCAGATCTGAGCCGCAGCTTGGATGACTCGACGGGAATGTGAGGCTCTGCCCCTTCTTACGTCGTCATCTCTCATTTGACGCTCCTCATCTTCTTCCCTCTCATTTCTTACCCCCTGCTGATTGAACATTGATTCTGATTTGTTAAACAAGTCTTCCTCTTCCTGATTCAATTCCCACATCATCCTTGAGGAAGAAGAAGAAGACATTGAAAGAAAGAAACAGAAACTATGAATATTGAAACTGATTTTTGTGAATAAGGAAGCAGAAATTATGAATAATGATAGAGATCTTGAGAATTTTGGTGTGAGATTTGTGAAGATGGATGGTGGATTATATAGAGGATTCAGAAAGGATTAGGTTCTGCATAATGCCACGTGGCATGTCGTCATTCGTTAAAAATCTGATGGAAATCTATCATCCAAGATTGTTAACAGATTATGACACGTGGCATGCCGTCATTCGTTTAAAATCTGATGGAAATCTATCCTCAAAGATTGTGAACCGATTATGACACGTGGCGCGACGTGATTGGTTAATAATCTTATCAGAAATCCATATTATAATTATTTATTTTGTATTATTTAATAATACTTAGGATAATGACACGTGGCGCACCGACAACGATTAAAAATCTTATCCGATATTACATTTAAAATTATTTTGTATTAATTTTATAAATAAAAAAAATACTAATATTTTATTGCCTATTGCCAGGGCTATAGAAGTGTAACGGTGGAGATGCAAAATCTATTGCCAGGGCTACTTACTGTTCATTAAGGGCAGTTACTGTTCATTAGGTGGATTGAATAGTGTATTGCCAGGGGGGAGGGCTCCAACGCTGGAGTTGCTCTAAAGTAATTTAATAAGCGGGTTTGTAGATAGAGTTAGGTTGAATTGGGGTTGTGATTTGTGTTTACCATTTTAGTTTTTTTTTTTTTTTCAAAAATTATGCTTCAAGTTTTAATGTTATTTTGAAATAAAATCAGAAAGATAATATAATTTTTAAGACATAGCCGCCATAACACATGATAAGATTGTCGTGATAATGTCACTCAGTATTGTCAAGTGATAGATTTGTACCACACAAGTTTTAATGTAAACTTTAGGTTAACAAACTTCCACAAGAGGTGTCCATTTTGGAAACACCATCATAATTAAAGAAAAAAGAGACATTTGTTGAAGAGTCTGATGGCAATGAATGCCCACACAGTATGTTAGCAAAAGTCTTCAGTATGAGCAGAAATTTTCAATGCCCATGCAGAGTGAAAGTTGAATACATAGAGATTGTATAGTCAGACGAAGTGTCGTAAAATTTCAAACTGCATTAACTGCATCAGTTTGGAGTTACTCTATAAATAGAGCACTCCGCATGTTTTTAAGTTACAAGGAAAGATAAGAAGAAAGAAAACGAGAGAAAAATATCAGTAACATCATCTATTTTCTCTGCTTTTATTTGTTATCTGCCTATGCTATAGTTTTAGTGTGGCATTTTACATCTACCTTGCACCTACCATAAAAAAGGTTATTCCTCTAACTTTGACTTTTTTATAACAACATTTTTGTTTTGATGCAAGAATTTAAAAACAAAAATAAATATGAATTGTTAAAATTTCATAAATATATGTTTTTTTTCTTCTAATTATAAAAAATTTGAAATACTTTTAAAATGTGGATAACAATTCTCGAACAGGTAATATATATTTTTAAAAGAGTGAAGTTGGATTTTATACTATCATCACTCACGAAAGTAATTTAGTAAGGTTTTGACCGGCGGACCGCTCTATATAAACAGACTCTTCTTCTCTCGTAACATATCACATTGTCGCATTGTCCCCTAAAACGCTTTCTGTATAAAACCACCAAGTCAAAAAATTTCTGGAAAAAACAATTTAATTCTCGAAAGTAAATCTCTGTCTCGCCCCGTCAGCTTTTTCATTTTTCCAAAACCCAGGACATCTAAATTCCAATCATCACGTAAAAACGCGCTTACTAATCAGACAATTAATCAAACCCAAATGTAGGTGGCGGTTGTTACGGCGTTCTTCCTGCGGCGGTGCACCCCATCCTGTGTTCGCGCCGGGTGTGGTTCTGGGAAAAAATGAGTTTGAGTCCGGCCGCGGGCGGCGGTGCTGTGGGTGGTGGTTGTGCGAATGGTGGGGGTAGTAGCGGTGGCACCTGCTGCAACATGAGCGTGAAGCGCAGGTGCAGGTGGAGGTGTCTGATCTCGTCGGGGTTGGTGTTCTTCTTGGGGTGCTTCGTGTTGTTCGGATTATTCGCCACGGTTTATGTCTGGTTCGCCTTCCCGCCGTATTATGCTCGGGCGGCGTTGGCCTCTCCCTCCATGCTTGGGTGTCAGGAGGACAATGAAGGTTCATGGTCTCTTGGTATTTTCTTCGGAGACTCTCCTTTTTCCCTCAAGCCCATTGAAGCTGTAAGATTTCTTCTTTTTCTTTTTAACTGTATGGGGTGTGTATATTTTGAGTATTTTTTATTTTTAAATTTTAGTTTGGTTTTGGGTTTTGTGGGTTTGGCTTGGAATTTTCAATTTGGTCTTCTATGAATTGGCCTCGCTGGAAGTGTGGGTATTTCCTGAGTATTAAATTATTATAATTTTTTTAGTTCTGGGAGGAAAAGTTCTTCAAGCCAACTCTTTTATCTTAATTTTATTTTTGTTAGTTTGGATTTTGTTTTTGTTTTTTCAAATATTTTGTTAAATTATGGACTTTTGGAGATTTGAATTTTGACACTGGGTTGGATTTTGGTGCAGATGGATGTATGGAGGGACAAAACTGCAGCTTGGCCCGTGGCAAACCCTGTTGTGACTTGTTCTTCTGTTTCTGATGCTGGTTTCCCAAGTAATTTTGTTGCTGATCCTTTCCTTTATGTCCAGGTATTAGCTCTGCCCTTCAAATATTTTGGTTTTTTATACAGTTCTAATGTATGATTGATTGCATGTCAATTTGGTACTGATATGCGAAATTCGAAGACCAATCTACTGTACAGTATTGTCCAGAACTTGAAATTTCGTGAGCTTGTATATTTTACACATTGAGTGAATCGTTACTGCAGTGTATTTAGGCCGTGTTTCTCATAAAACTCTGAGGATTAAATGATTTCATGCTTAGAGCTTAAATGGATATGGTAGGGTCCAAGTTATAACCAATTTTCCTTGGGTCAAAGGTAGAGGGCTGGAATAGGGATTTGGTACACTTAAGTTGTAAGGTTTCAACAATACTTTTTCTTCTCATGTTTGTAGCAACAGCGATAACAAGTTTAAGCGAGCAGATGATATCGTTTTGTAAAGACATTAGTGATGTTGATGGAGTTTGAATTGTTAGGCTGTGCATTAATTTGATTATTTTGCATTAACATCTCTGAAGCCCATGATTGTGACAGAGGCAATCCAGATTATTTTGAGTTATGCCTTACCTCACTGTTCTGACGAACGTTGATTGTAGGCCTTCTAATTCTGTTTGTCAATATGGAATTAGGGAGTTCTGGAGCATTACACCCTGTGTGGCTGATAGTAATTGAAAAAGATTTTTATTGGTTCTTGGTTGAGAAAATGAACCTGTATTAATGCTTCAGTAGGTAACTTATATGCATTTGGAAAGCATGGACATGATGGTGACCGTGAACTAGTGAATGTTTCGATCTTGTGCCTTATCATTTTCAATTGATTTTGTTTACCTTACAATAATCTAATTCTTATGAGTATTTTCACTTCAGACATTAACCATAATGGATGCCATAAATTTTCTGTAGTGAAATTTCTGTGTTTTGCATTTGAAGTTTATCCAATATGCTTCAAAAGCCTAAAGATGACTTTAAGTTTTTGTGGCCCTTATGATAGGAGCCTTGGAGGTTTCCTTTGTGTTGGATTTAAATATACCATCCGAAAATTGGTAATAGTTTACATTACAACACAAGATACTATGACTATGTTGCTATATGGCAATGATTTTTTGGGAAACTGATACTTCTCTGATTACGCCTTTTGTAAAAAATTGAGAAATAGAGATTTTGAGAATGTATCCTTGTCTTGAATACTTAAGATCTATTACTTGTCTGCTGGAATCATCTTCATGTGCTAAGTCTCTGTGAATATATTAAGCATCTCCCCTTTTCTAATTGCTGGCTGGTTGCAATTTTATTGAACATTGCGAATACTACTGCTTTTGGTCAAAACGCCCCATTGTTGGATGCTGGCTACTGTTCGGTTAACATTTGTCTTCCTGTATTTCTTGTGTCATAACTCATACGCACTTAATGTAGAATGATAATTCTTGTCAGATTCAATCTTCTGAAAGCACCGATATTCTTTGTCATCTCTGTGCTCAATGTGAAACTGATAATTCTTCTCATCTCTGAAAGCACCGATATTCTTATTTCACATGTTTTCATTATGTTCCAATACTATATAATATATTGCATTCTATTTTGTAGTTTATGATGAAATTATATATATTTTAAGTATAAGCACACTTATTTAAACTGAAATATGATAGATTTACTTAAATCCACCTAGTCCGCCTAGGCGCCCGCTTAGGCACCGCCTAGCCGCCTAGGCGCTAGGGCCCAGCCCGCTGCCCGACTAGCGCTTATTGTCTTTTAAAAACTTGGCTCAATCTGTTGGTGTCATGGAGCCAGGTTGTAGTAAGGAGAGGTAGGTGGTGGACATTAAGTGCATGATGGATGTGGTTGATGTGGTTATTGATGGGTCATATAATTTCAAACTTCATTCATGCACCATTTGACGTTGTGCTATGGGTGTGATTGGTTGATTCCTCTTTCTCTAGCAAAACATGATTTTGAAAAGGATCCAAATGGTAGTAAGAGAGTCCCTCTTTGTTGCTAACATGGTGTTCGTTTTCTTTGCTGTATTGTTCTTGTGGCGAAAAAGACTTGCCTTTTGTCATTTTATTAATAGATTGTTTTGATATTGGTATCGCCTGACTTTACTGGGTGCTGATCATATTGGATATTGGTACATTCAAGTAACTTGAAAAATATAAGACCCTGTTTGTATTCCGACAGTGCTTTGCCCGGGACCACCACTTACTAAAATTGTCATGATATTGTTGTCTACTTAGAGTGTAGTTGCCCTGAAAGGGACAGCCATTATAAGTTGTCAAGTATATTTTGTCATTGTAATTAATTTGTGTTTGATCCCTTAGGGCTTGTTTGGTATCCTATTTGAAAATTTTTATCATTTCTCAAAACATTTCTTGAAAACAATTTTTGTTGAGACTAAAAAATTTGATTGGTTTGCGATTTAAAATTTTTAAATCTTACTACTTAAGCTAGTCAAAGAGGTCTAAAAAAGGGGGGGGGTTGCAGGAGAGGGAGAAAGAGGAGAGAGGAGGAAAGAAAGTAAGAGATAATTGAAGGAAAGAGAAAGAAGAGAGAGGATTGGACGAGATAGAGAGGAAGAGGAGTGAGAGAAAGAACCGAGAGAATGAAGAGAGCAGATTGGAGGAGAGACGAAAAAGGTAAAAAAAAAAAAAAAAAAGAGAGAAGAAAAGAGAGATAGATTTGGAGTGAGGGGAGAAGGGAGAGAAAAGAAAGGAGTGAGTTTAAGTTTAAAAACTCTAAAAACTCACTTTTTATGTTTTTGGAGAATAGACTATATTTTTGAGTTAGTCTTGAGTCCAGTTTTTGAAAATAGTCCTACCAAACAAGTTTTTAAGGCCTAAAACTTGAAAAATGTTTTTGAGTTTAAAAAGTTGGATTCAAGTAGACTACCAAACAGGCCCTTATATTTTCAAACATAAGTCAAGGATCCATTTGCTTTGGGTGAAAAATCTTCCAAGAAAAACGATTTCCGTGATGAAAAAGGGTAATTTTTTATTGTTTGGCTTTGATAAAAAAGGAAAATTACCATTTTATTTACTGCTGTTTTACATCTTTTCAATTTGACCAGGATGTGATTGTCTGTCACCATACACAACAACAAAGCCTTTTCCCACTAAGTGGGGTCGGCTATATGAATCCTAGAACACCATTGTGCTTGGTTCATTGTTTGTCACCATGAAGGACAGAAATATATTTTTTAAGACAGGCCCTCCTCCCTTCCCTCGTCATCCAGCAGGGAAAAATTACGTCCAGAACAAAAATCAGAAGTTATTCGACGAGTTTTAACAATTTTCAATTTTTTCCTTTTGGGCAAGAACTGGTATTATGCTGACCAAGTTGTTTACAAAAATCCGGAATCTTGTCTCTGTTTTTTTTATTTTATTTATTTATATATATTTTCTTTAATTCAGCTGTACTATGATTCTCCCAGCTCATGGACCTTTTGGGACTGGTAGCAGTGTTTTTAGAATTACTTGGTTCATTCTACTCAACATCTCTGCTTCTTGTTTCAGGGAGATGCTTTTTACTTGTTCTATGAAACCAAGAATTCAATCACTTTGCAAGGAGATATTGGAGTCTCAAAAAGTATTGATAAGGGAGCAACATGGCAGCAATTGGGCACTGCCTTGGATGAAGAGTGGCATCTCTCTTACCCGTTTGTCTTCAACTACCTTGGCCAAGTAAGAATGCATTTCTTTTTACGTGCACACCGGCCCAATAGATCCCATCACCAGCGTGAATGAAAGTAAATAACTGTAACAAATTATTTCTAAACAATTGTTCGATGCATCTTTGGCCAAGTTGCAGCTTAACAGGACACATTGATTGCAGGAAAAAAAAAAAAAAGCACCTATCACCTAATTTTCTGGGGTAAATTTGATATCTGTTGTATAACTTCTTTCTTATCGTTTCTCACAGATATATATGATGCCTGAGAGTAGTATGAAAGGGGAACTTCGTCTGTACCGAGCACTCAATTTTCCATTGCAATGGACTCTGGAGAAAGTGATCATGAAAAAGCCTCTTGTTGATTCTTTCATAATCAATTATAATGGAGCGTATTGGTTGTTTGGTTCAGATAACACTGGATTTGGCACCACAAAGAATGGACAATTGGAAATCTGGTATAGCAGCTCCCCTCTTGGTCCTTGGAAACCACACAAGAAGAATCCTATATATAATGGTGACAAAAGCTTTGGGGCTCGAAATGGAGGCAGACCATTTTTCTACAACGGAAATCTTTATCGTGTTGGTCAAGACTGCGGTGAAACATATGGGAGAAGAGTGCGCACCTTTAAGGTGGAAGTTCTTACCAAAGATGATTACAAAGAAGTTGAAGTTCCCTTGGGCTTGATAGAGCCAAGTAAGGGTCGCAATGCTTGGAATGGTGCTCGCTATCATCATCTAGATGTGCAGCAAATAAATACTGGTGAGTGGGTTGGAGTGATGGATGGAGACCGGGTACCATCTGGGGATTCAGTTCGGAGGTTTATTTGTGGTAGTGCTTCAGTTGCCGTTGTTGCTGTACTCATTATATTGCTGGGTGTTCTACTTGGAGCTGTGAAGTGCATGATTCCTCTCAATTGGTGCACTCACAACTCCGGGAAGCGGAGTGATGCGTTCTTGGCCTGGGAAAGGTCACATTTGTTTTCAGCCAAAGTGAGACGGTTTTGCAGCCGCATGAACAGAGGAGTTTCATTCCTCAGAGGTAGGATTAAACCTAGTACCTGTGCTGGAAGACTGGTTCTTGCTATAATTTTGGCATTTGGAGTTGCGGCTATGTGCACAGGGGTTAAATGTATCTATGGTGGTAGCGGTGCAGAAGAAGCTTACCAATGGAAAGGTCACTACTCGCAGTTCACCTTATTAACAATGACCTATGATGCTCGTCTCTGGAATTTGAAAATGTATGTTAAACATTATTCCAGATGTTCCTCAGTGCGGGAAATTGTTGTGGTGTGGAACAAAGGAATACCACCTAAAGTTAGCGATTTTGACTCCACAGTGCCAGTCAGGATCAGATTAGAGAAACAAAACTCACTGAATAATCGCTTCAAGTTGGATTCTTTGATAAAGACCCGAGCAGTTCTGGAGCTTGATGACGACATTATGATGACTTGCAATGATGTTGAGCGTGGATTCAGGATATGGCGTCAATACCCAGACCGTATTGTGGGTTTCTACCCCCGACTAATTGATGGGAGCCCGTTGAAGTATCGAGGTGAGAAATATGCCCGGACCCATAAAGGATATAACATGATTCTCACGGGGGCAGCTTTCATTGATAGTCAAGTAGCTTTCAAGAGGTATTGGGGAAAAGAAGCTAGCCAAGCAAGGGAATTGGTAGACAAATATTTCAACTGCGAGGACGTGCTGCTGAATTACTTGTATGCAAATGCTAGTGAATCCAAGAATGTGGAGTATGTGAGACCAGCATGGGCAATAGATACATCAAAATTATCTGGTGCTGCAATAAGCCGAAATACCAAAGTTCACTACCATATAAGGAGCAACTGCCTCCGGAAATTTTCTGAGATGTACGGAAGTTTGGCCGGGCGCAAGTGGAAATTCAATGGGCGGAAGGATGGTTGGGACGTATAGCGAGGGAGGTATGGTCGCTAGTCGCTTACAACTCCTGAATTTGTTAATCCTTGTCTCATCCTTTAGTAAACTTCTAGTAATTCCTTTTTATGCTCCTCCTCCTCCCCCTCCCCTGTGAATATCTTGTCAGGGAATTTAGTTATCAATAGATTTGAATTTTGATTAGTAAGATGTGCATTGTTTTTGTGTTTTTCGGATGTCTTGCTAGAAATTGATCTAGTATGTGTGTTTATTGTCTTGATTTTGGACGTCCCATGGCCTCTGCGCAGGGAAAAGTTTGCATTGCGACGTTACTGCGTTACATGTGGGTAAAACTACTTTGAGAGATGATGTTTTGCCAAATACTTTGATTGCATATTGCCGGAATGAATCATGAAAAAGGTGAACTGCTTTGTGTTTAATCGGATAACGGGATAAGTGGTGTGTACAAATTTGGGTGGAGGGTCTGGAGCATCAAAGGAAATTGTATAATGGTGCTTGATTGTATAATGTGGTTGATTACTATAATTGAGTACGTTGTGTAAGATAGGAGAGAAACTTAACCGCTGTAAATGTATTTAAAGTTAATTTTTGGAGACGACGTTAATTGACTTGAAATACCATCACAGTATCATTCTCGTTGCATGAAAAATCTCAATTATCCTGACCTTTATGGTTTTTTCCCTAATAAGGGCATTATTGTCTTTTTCTATAAATGACATTGATGTACCATGGTTGTGATATAGTTACGAAATATAAATGAAACTGTCCGACCAAATCATGAGTCCAAAACTCTTCCGTGGACAATTTAATGGGAAGTAAAATATTTATCTTAGTGGAAATATGTATATAGTACTTAGTACTATCACCAATTGACGGTTATATCTGCTCTTTGAACGCCAGTATACTAAATCCGTAAAATTATATACCCCCTTCGTTCTCAGAGCATGCACGCAGTCGCATGCATTGAGAGAGGGGTAGCAGATTCACACCTACGCTATCAAGACCGGCCTAGTTTTGTCCAATGTGTACGTCGATAACACTCTTAGAGGGGTTATGCTGTTTGTGGGGTTATGAAATGTGTCCGCATGGTGTTTGATGAAAGTCCTCAGAGGGACTTGGTTTTGTGGACTACGCTTATTCAGGGTTATGTTAAAATGGGGTTTCCGAGAGAAGGCATTGAGGTGTTTTTCGATATGTGTGATGCTGAAAGGAGGGCGGATGAGATGACGTCGGTCATCGTTCTCTCTGCTTGCTCTAAACTGGGAGACTTGAGCTTGAGTAGGAAGATCAGTGGATACATTTATTAAAATGGGGTATGCCGAGATGTTTTTATAGGCAATGCGTTGGTCGATATGTACTTGAAGTGTGCGGATGCCGACTTTGCAAGTAAAGTTTTCAATGAGATGCCTGTGAGAAATGTGGTTTTCTGGAATTCGATGATATCGGGTTTGGCACATCAAGGGAAATTTAAGGAGGCGTTGTACGTGTTCCGAGAGATGCAAAAAAGGGGTCCAGAACGAGATGAGGTGACATATATTGGAGGCCTTGCAGCATGTAGTCATGGAGGACTTGTCGCAGAGGATCAGAGGTATTTTAGGGAGATGTCAAGTGTGCACAAGCTCAGACCTCAGACGGAGCATTATGGCTGCACAGTTGACCTATTAGGCCATGCTGGGGTTAATAAACGAGGCAGAGGAGTTTGTTGAAAACATGCCAACTGAGCCAGATGCCTTTGTTTGGGTCGCCCTTTTGGGGCCTGTAGGATCCATGGAAAAGTAGAGCTTGCTGAAAGTGTGATGAAGGAACTACTGAAGGTAGAGCCGGAGAGAGATGGCGCATATGTGCTCACGTCAAATGTTCATTCCTCTGCAAATAGATGGAGGGATGCAGTGAAGTTGAGATGGGCGATGAAGGGAAAGAACGTGAAGAAAACTCCTGGGTGTAGTTCAATCGAGCTTTGATGGTATTATTCATGAATTCTGAGAGGGTGGAAAATCACATAAAAGAAGCAAAGGCATATACAAATTGCTGGAAGAGATTATGAGCCACGTAAAGAACCACGAGCTTTTGGCACACTGAACCTCATTCTTTTGATGATCGAGGCATAACTGAGAAGAACAAGTGTTCGAAGTTTAGCACATTGCGGATGGCTTGATCAATTTGGTCCCGTGGTTCAAAATCATGGGCTTTTCAGGAGCTATTGCATCTTCTGAGATGTAATTCATGTAAACCTACTGAGTAATTCATGTAAAGATCATCTTGTAAACTATCAACTATACTTCATAATCCTCACAAAATTGTTTCAGTACTGGTATCACTTAATTTCACCTAGTGTGCTGCATTTTTCGTAAATCAGTCCATTGTGCTGTTCTAGGATCTATGTTTTGTTCAGGCACAAGCTGCATTTTTGTTTTCTATGCACGTCATCGCATAACAAATTTGTGTTATGATTTTATCCTGTTTTCTAACACTTTTCTCAACATTATTAATGTAGATAATATTGTTTGTGAAAAAAAAAGAAAGCACTCTTCTCGACATCCAAGTTTTCCAAATTTTGCAATTGGGGGTTAAAGCATCAAACACATAACAATACCATCCATCTAGTGCTTATGATATTGCTTCCAAGTCCTTGTGCTATCCATAGCTAAACAACACTGGAACTTTGTTGAAAGCTATATTTGGAATGTCAAAGTTTAATGAATTTATGGTAATGGGAATTGATTTCAATATAGGAGGAAATGACAAACGCCCACCCTTTTTAGCTTCTTATACGCCCCTTTTTAGTCTGTTGATTCCGTTTGATTTTTTTTTTTTTGTCAAAAATTCCGTTTGATTTATTCAATCCGATGACAAAAAATACATAAATGTGTGTGAAAAGCTAAAACGGGCAAGTGAAAATCACCTCCAATCTTATATATCTCAATGAAAAATTGCCGCTTCCTTGTAACTAGATCTGGCAAAATAATGCACGAAACAATCATATGACACAAACATAGTTGAATAAGGACCCGTTTGGGAGTGGGGTAAAGCACACGAACGGTGCTTATTCCCATAAGTGATTCTGGCCCTCCCAAATTTGCTCCGAAACGAACGTTCATCAGCGTAAGTTTTTCCACAGGCAAGAAGGGTCCCAATTTCATTGGGTTTATATTGTTGGATGACGTGCATGCATATCCTAGTTGCCAAAGAGAAGACAGTGGAAGAAGGCATGAGGGCAATTATGGATGGAATCACACAATTAGTTTGCCTCCTACAAAGAGTACAGTTTGGTGCCTGTAGAATTGCCCTAATTCGGCCATTATTATTATTAATTTAATTTATCCGACAGTTTTGCCAACTGCCATAAGCTTTGGAAGCCATAATAATATATCAATTAACAAACATACACTTATTAAAATAATCTAGGAAATCATGTCATAAGCGTCTGTTATACCGTGTTTGGGTCTTGGAGGGGTGTCTACTATCTACGGTGGTCGACAAAAACGAAACACCGATATCTTAAAACTCATTTGGTAACTATTTCGTTTTTAGTTTTTTAGGTAATACTAAATAAAAACGCTACTGAGAAGCTTTTCTTGCAAACAGTAGTAGTGCTCCCCACCTCTAGGCAAGTAATCCCACAGCCGAGGATTCTAGGTTATTTTTATTTGATGTTGAAAACCTTAACCTAGCTTCTAGATAGATACTTAAATTGATATGAACAATGACCTATGTGACATCAACAATTTAGTACCCTAACGGTGGGAATTTTGACATGAGTAATGTTAGGGAGAAGAAATTTTTAAACTAAATTTGCAAACTAAATGATGTGATTGTAGATGATTGAATTATTAATTAAGTGTCGATTAACGTATTTGTTTCTTATTGGTGACACATCATTTGGTTTGCAATTTAGTTTAAAAAAATTTGATCTTCCTAACATTACCCTTTTGACATTGTATTTATGCCTTTGTGTAGACGTTTAAGGATTCGCGAGCACAACTAGTCATTGTGTAGTCAGGTAATGCGTTGGATTGCATCCTTCAATATTTCCACACATAAAACTTCGAAACATAAAACAATTCAAGCCACATATGATGAGACATATAAGTGTAGGGAGTGTTCTTAAAATAAGCACACAATCTCATCACTTGAAATGTCACGTAATTTAAAAAGTATATACTTTTTATGTTTATCTTTATTCTCATTTAATATACGACATGACGAAAAAGGGAGAGAGATTAAAAATTGACATTATTATTACATCTATAGATAGTTTTTCAGCAACACTTAGTTACCTTTTAACATGAGTAAAGTGACTAACCATAAAAAGTTACTCTTAAATCCAAGAATTTTGTCACACCAAGTTTACCGTTCAGCAAATAGTAAAAGTAAAACCAGCACAAGAAAAGTTACTCTTTTAAAAGAGTTGATTGGTATTAATCCAGTCCAAGCATGCAGGTTCATTTCATGCCTCCTTCCTAATAACTGTTGGTAGGTGGAAGAACTGCCGCTGCATATTGTCCGTCCAGAACCTCAATGAGCTTCCCAGCTATTGCACTTGCATACAAACAAGACCCTTCATACATCTGCATAATTCAAACCGAAACCCTAATTAATTAAAAACCAAAATCAAACCAAGTGAAACTAATCGTGAAATCGTGTTGTTTTTTTCGATGTGTGTAACTTAATAGATTACGTTTGACATGTTTGTACTACGTACGTTCTTGATCCTTGTTAACGAAGTTTGAATTGATCTCATAAAAGAAAGAAAAACAAACCTTGGTATTGAAGAAGAAGCTGTAGGAATTACCAATGTGGCCACCAGCAACATGATGAAGATCAAGCTGCAGCTCATCCAGAAGCCTGGACACAAACAGCAACAGGTTGATCTTCTTCCTCTGCACCAGTTTAATGGTAACTTCATCGTCGATAATGCGGATATCAACCTCGGTGTCTTTGGATTTCCTTTGCAGCCACGAGCTCCGCAGAGAGCCATTGTTGTAGGACTGGTCATGAGGCTCACCAAGAGGCTGAATGTTGCAGCTCTCGTCATCTGCAGCGGCGGCAGCGCCATCATGCTCAGTCTTGTGCCTCTTGATCCTTTCTCTCCCACACCTTTTCTTCTCGACCAGCAGTTTAAGCTCTTCCACTGTCCTCAGAAGCTCGTTTATGTATTCAATTGCATCTCCCACAATTGATGCTCTATCATTCTTTCCAATTAATTGACCCCAGAAAAAGAAGTTAAGCAAAAGTATGATTATTACGGAAAACAAAAAACATAAAAAATTGGGAACTGCAAAACAACCGATATGCATTTTCTAGTATGGTTCGGAGTATCCTATGCACCGGGATTTTTGGTCGTTACGTCGTTGATCAATGATACAGTGGATGTGAAATTTGTGAATTTTATGTGCGTACCTTTGTTGGGTTTGGAACCAAATTCTTCAAGATATCGAACTTGCCATTCAATTGCTGTCTCCTTTGGCGCTCGGTAGCAAAGTGTTTGGTCCTTTTGAGATCTCTTCCTATCCCATTAGAAGCCATATCTCTTGAGAACTTCAAAACTCCGCTATCAAACTGCCTCCCAAGACTCCCATCTGGGTCATACAGAACTCCTCCTTCGCTTCCCTCTCTGTCATCGCCGCCGCTACTGAATAACGACCCGTTTCCTGAGCCAGGTAAGGTGTACCCATGCGGCAGGGACTGAAGCAACTCCCTGAATAATGGCGGCTGTGGAGGGAGGTTCAAGTGGAGAAGCGGGTCATAGAGGACGGAAGAAGGCGTCCCCTGTGGGGTGTCAACCGCGCTGGGGAGGTCTCCAAGGAGCCCAAAAGAGCTCGGAAAATTCGAGGTTTTTGGGAGGGGATTTGTGAAGGTGATGGATGAGTTTTGGAGAAGAGAGGAGGGGGAGCATCTGGGTAAGCTGAAAAGGTTGAGAAGGTCAGGTGGTTGTGGGTATAGAGTACAAGTAGCAGAAGTAGTACCATCTGGGAATTGTTGCTGCATCTGATCATGAACGCCATGAACATTGGTGGTGTCCCAATTTGTTGGGTGCTCAAAAGACACCAAATGGGAATTGTTGATGTTGTTGTTATGGTCAGTATTGGTGGTGTATGAGTTATCGACATTGAATCCAGGTTCGTTTTGGAGCTCGATTTCCATGGAGGAATGATGATATTGGTGATGGTGAGGATGATAAGAAAGCTCTTCCATGGAGAGTCTGATGTTTGCTTCGACACCAAAGCCGGTGGTGGTGGTGGTGTTGTGGTGGTGGGTGATGTCTGACGAAGGCATGAGAACTTGTGGTGGTTGTTGTGGCGGTGGTTGTGGGGGAAGAGGGTTGAGGTCGAGCACGCTCTCTGCTGCAGATTCAGGGATGGAGTTTGGGTCAAAGTTGCATGCTACTGTGTCTTGATACATTTTTGGTTTTGGTAAAAAACTGTGTCTCCTCCTTTATTTGTTCACAAAATCAAGAACTGGGGAAGATAGAGGGAGGGAATTTAAGAGAGAGAGAGAGAGAGAGAGAGAGAGAGAGTGGTGGTAGGAGAAAGAAAGGACTGATTAAAACTGCAAACGGCTCTCCTCTCTGGAGTGAGAGAGGCAGAATTGTTTCTTTGTCATTATGTGCTCTCTCTTTCAGTCTCTCTTCCTTTTCTCTGAGATTTTTCAATTGTGTTAAAAATCTTTGGGTCATTGTGTTTATAATAAAAATTTTATTTTAATCATTGTGTTTTCAATTCATTAATTTACAGTTGGTTTGCGATTGTAGTGCTTTTCATAAAAAGTAGTTTATTAAAAAATCTGAAACATTAAATGTGTTTGGTAAAACAAAAAAAAACAAAAAAAGTTTTTAAAAAAAAATGCTATCAATAAAAGTAGAAATGCTTCTAAAAAAAATGTCTTTTTTTCAAAGCATATTAATTAATACTCATTTAATGAAATTTTTAAATAACAAGTATACCTCCACGTGTTTTACAAA